ATGGTCAACAAATTTCAGATCAAATCTTCAGACTTCAGACAGATTTTGACTTGACACAACATGAAACATTTCCTCTGCTATTCTGTTTGCTCATCAAAAATGCTGGAGCAATAATTTTCAATTTTCTTCAAGGTTGCAAGGTCTGTCTCTCTCTCTGTGTCTCTCTGTCTCTCTCTCTCTCTGTGTCTCTCTGTCTCTCTCTCTGTGTCTCTCTCTCTCTCTGTCTGTCTGTCTCTCTCTCTCTGTCTGTCTGTCTCTCTCTGTCTGTCTGTCTCTCTCTGTCTGTCTCTCTCTCTCTCTCTCTCTTCCCTCTTTTTTTCCGTCAGTCACTTTCCATTCTTTTTAACCCTACTCCCTCTTTCCCCCATCTCTCTCCTTTTCCCCTTTCACCTTTCCACACCTCTTTCTTCCCTCTCTTTCTCCAGTTTCCCTCTTTTCTCTCTTTCTCTTTCTTTTCATCCTGTTTCCCCCCTTGTCCCTCTCTCTCCTCGCCCCCATTTTGCGCTACTCCTTCCTCCTGGGCTCCTCAGCCTCCCCTGCCTCAATCAGCAACACCCACCAATAATGAAGCTGTGTAGATTGGGAATTGCATTCAAACTAAAATGCTATCTAGTGGAGTTACAACAAAACGCACAGCATAAAAACCGTCTCCGTGAAAAAAGATGTGGATGTGCCAACTTTCATGGAGATCGGTTACATGGTGTTGGAGTTCACGTTCTGGTACACATCAACATCCATTTTTATATATAAAATTTATTTATTTTTATATTTGTGTTTTTAAAAATATAAACACACACACACATTATATACATACATATACACACACAAAGCAAAGAAGACTGTTTTGTATTATTTATCAGAATCCTACCTAATTTACCCCTCAGTCTACTACCAAACAGATTTAAGGCACAAAAATAGAAGTATGCAGATTATGATATGGATATTTGTGAAGGTGCACAATCAACCTCCAACATACTTTAGCATTGTGCCCAACTCAAAAACTAAGAATCCTAGCCCCTTAAAAATGAGTCAAGTCCCTAAAGGGACACAAGTTACGTTTCCTAAAACAAATTCAACAATATGAGATCTTTTTGTATCTTTGATTTACATTGCTGAAATTTCTTCTGGGTATTCTACTCCATAGTACGACTTGAAAAATTAACAGAAACTTGATACCCATCTACAATTCAATTGAAGAAATGAACATAAATACTGTAATCTTCCAGGATTAAATTAAGATGACTTATGATTAAGACCTTTTGTGCAATTATTTTTAATTACTTAGCAATATTAGAATGGTTCCTCATGCACAGTACTGGGCCTATAATGCGGTAATGCACACAGTTCAGTAGGCCATTCAAAGATAGATTCCACTAAGAAGCCATTTTCTCTTTAAAAACATTATTTAAAAATTACGATATTCTTATTTAATTTCTACTCCTTTATGGACCCACATTTTCCCATATTTTATGTTTTTAAGGTGGGCAAGAAATATTTACTACATACACACACAGATGTGAAAGCACAAGCTTGAAAAAAGGGTAAAGTATAAACCCAAAATTACTCTTTAAAAGTGCCTCACCTCCACACAAAAGATGACTATCCAGCAAAAGATATTTTAAAAAAATCAAATACCATTTTCACATATTTACATTTACTTTTTTGTGATGAGAAAACAAAATATAAATATGGCCAAAGGTGATTCTGAATTTACAGATACAGTGCAGATCTGAAATCACACATGTGCTACTTTGCCTGCCTTTAATATATTTATAAATAGGAAAAATTTACAAAAATATACTTCATTGTCAATGGTAGAGTGCAGAATGCAGTAATTTCAGTCATTTCAATTGTAGAGTGCTGTGTAGTATGCAGTAAGAACATCTGGGCCCCTTGGCAAGCTTGCTGGTATTATTTGGACAATAAATCCAGAAAACCTGCACAACATCCATCCTACAAACTATGAGTGAATATAGCAATAAATAATTTAAAGGAGAGGAAAGGATTTTTATCATGAAGCATATACTATAATGAACATAATTTATATTTCACCTCATTACAACCTTTAGGTACTTATTTTACTCAGGCTCATATTACAACCGAAGATGAACAAGTAGATGTTGAAACACAATCTCTCCCCCCCTGCCATTTCGGCAACAGCAATGCAAAGCAAAATATCAAAAGTATTACGGCTTAACATGTTTACAACTAACTTATTATAACAAAGAAAAAAATCATGAAATGGAAATTCTCACCTGCGAGCTGCCTCTCTCTGTTCTTGTTGACGACGGCGCTGCTCTTCCTTCTCTTGTTCCAGCTCTCGCTGCCGCTGAAGCTGTTTTTCAAGCTCTAGTTGTCTGCGACGCTCTTGTTCTTGTCTACGACATTATCAATAAAAACTCAGTAAAAAGCTTTCATGAGACTTCTTCTAAATCTATTAATAGAATTGTAAAGATACAAAAATGTAATTACTTATTGTATTCCTTCTAACTTGACCTTCAGACACAAAAAGTCATAGAGAGCAGAAGTGGTCTAACAACCTACCATGAGAGCAATAGAGGTCTAACTGCCAAATCTATTTTTTTATTATCCTCAAACTTCCACTCATTCTTTCCTTGTTCACAGCCTGTTAACATTAATAGTTTATGATATGACACACATCAGTGTACACTATTTCTAACATGTAGTAATCATTGTAGTATCTACATTTCTGAACAATCTGCAACCAATTTAAATCCACAAGAAGATGTGTTTGTAGATAGAATGGTAGAGGATAGAAAGCCAAAACAAATGATCGAAACCAGGCCAGAGAGAAAGAGACCATGTTGAAAACAAGAAAAACATGGGAAAGCATATGTACAGGATAAATGCCAAAGGAGCGGAGCTACACTAGGAGAGGTGAAGCGCAAGGCACAAGACAAAAAGAGGTATGCCAAATGGCTAATCCAATGCTGAGAGGCATCA